TGGTGGCATAATCCAGGGAATACGCTTTTTTGGCATCATGATGTACAAATATGCAAATAACAATGATGTGAACCTCAGGAGAAAGATCTTCAGTCTCCCAGTTAGTCACCCACATTTCCATCCACCTCTCCAGTGTTTATAAAACTCTGAGATGTCAGTCATCTAAAATTAGATGAGTGAGCAGAAAAACATGTTGGTCTTGGATATTTATGGAGATGCGCTGCAGGCAACAAGACCTCTCCCAGTAAGAGTTTGGGGTTTTTTTCAGAGCAAAGAGATAAATTGAATTTTCATCTTTCTATTCCTGATGTCATGCTCAGTATAAATTATCCTGTGCCTGTATAGCTCCAGACTTCTTCCATGTGTTGCAACAATAAAACCAGTTATCACCTTGGATTTATATCATAAGAGGAAAGTGAATTATAGTTTCCTCATATACCTCATATAATACAGAATCGAATCCTTACCTGAAAAATAAAATCCTGTTCCCTTGATTTTACATCATGCCTCTTTTATTCCATGTGTGAATAACAGTCTTTTCTGGTTGCCTAATATCTGATAAACAGGGTAATTTTCCCACTCTTGTATCCACTCAGGCTTTGCAGTAATTTTCTAATACAAGGGCTGTAATCACGCTGTCAGACCTGTCTCCTGCTAAAGAAAGCTGTTGTGGGAAATGCGAGCCCTGCAGGCAACCCTGCTGGATAATTGAGGGCGGTTAGCGGTGGCAGTGATGTTTTTTGATTGAAGATTTAATGTTACTTTGCATCCTGGAGGAGGATGTTGGTTATCGACCGCCTGTAAAGACTAGAAGGCCAAGGCCAGGATCTGAGGCTATTGATCTGTAACGAAAGCAGAGTGGCAACAGCTTTGTTCAGGTGGTTCTGTGGGATAGGCCAGCAAGGTCATCTGGGTCAGGCCAGGCCAGGCCAGGCTACTCTGTGACATTGTGTATATTTGATATGCAAAAACTGATTCATTGATTTTTTATTGGGGTATTAGGATTCAGATAGTGCGAGGCGAAATGCCATCCAAAGCGGATCTGGTTTTCAAAGACGAGGAAAGGGGCATTGGATTTCAAACTGAGAGATTTCATGCTGTGTTCCTATTGAATGCAGGCTGAGAGGAAGAGATATGGGTCTGGGTGCAGAGAGGAGGAGAGGAAGAATGGCCGCTATATCCCTGACAAATTCATTATGTTACAGTCCCCTTCCAGGTTTTCGCTGGTTTATTCTCTGCTGGGGTATTAAGAATCTAATGCCCTTATTTTATTGAGTTTCTGGAAGTCCATTCACATCCTAACCCATATCTCTTCTTAGTTAAATAGTAGCTAAATAGAGACTTGAAAGCCTTGAGATTATTTTTCAACTTTCTCTTTTGTAACATATGGGGGCAGGCTGATGTCTTTTTGCTCAGGATTACAGGTTTCAGTTTGCATTAAAGCCCTCATGCTGACAAAGGTAGAAGGGCTGCAGAGGTATATGACTTATACTTACAATCTAGTTATTGTCATATGCATTTCTGCATATAGTGCAAAATGTATCTCCAAGCCGTAACAAAGCATTTCCCTTTGAACTTGTGTTGGAGGACACTCACTGTCCCAAGAGAGTGGCAGTTGTTCATCTATCATCACACGGTTGTTTTAGGGGTTGCAGCAATTCGGTCCCTCAGCCTTGCTCCTTATGGATGCAATGTGGCGACACTGCAGAAATCTGTTTGCTAAAAATAGTGCTCTCTATAAATGGTGCTTGTGATGCGCAGCTATAGTTCTCTTTCCGTTTCCTTGAGATCCTCTCAAGAGGATGAGGCACACATTAAAATGTCAACAAGGAAGGATCTATTTCACTTCTTAAATGAAGCCAGTTTTGTGTGGGGTGAGCTGGGGATGATGGGTGCAACACTAGATATTATGGTTTTGTTTTCAGCCCAGTATCAGATATTCTGTATCTGGGAAATCCAAGGTTCAGGGAAAAAACATACATCAAGCTATTGTAAAATATGCTGTCATCTCTCACAGCAGAAACATGGGAATATGCTACAAACTGGGTCTTGTTCTCACGATTGCAGCCACTTTGACAAATGCCAACGCTGCACAATACAAAAGCAAAGTTTTCCTCCTCAGTCTGCTGTAGAGATACGTGACCACAGGACCACCATTACCTCTCTGAGGCTTGTTGTCTTGTGGGACAGTCCTCTGTTGGCTTTCTGCCTCCAACAAAACATGACACCATTGTTGTTGAATTCACAAACTGATCCTGAATTTAAAACTGAATTGATTTAAGCAGCAGATTGTGTTATCAGCTTTGAAAAGCTCACGTCAAAACATTTTTAAGTTCTGTTTCTTACCTATATGCGCCTTGAGAGTCGTGGTTAACGTCAACCTCCACGTTTATGAGCACAGTCTAGTGCCTTAAACTCTTTATCAGAAAACTCAGCACTTTGTAATGGAGTTCTTAATCTTTTGTACTGATTATTTAACCAGGAGAGTATCGTGCTGACCCAAAGATGAAGTACCTCAACTGTGAATCACACCATTTCACAGAGGTATAAAAAAAAAAGAAAGAAAAAGCAACTAGACCATCGATTATGCCAGTAAATGTTGTCGATCTCAGCTAACTAGCTAATCAAGCTGACGTTAGCTCCAGGTTGGTTGAAAGTGCCTCTCTGTCTGACGTTCTAAGGTTTCAGCTTACTCCCTTCTTAAGAAGGACATATTATGACTATCTTTAATGTTCATCATTGTATTCTTGGTGTCTACTAAAATAGATTTACATGCTTCATTGTTCCAAGAAGATATTATTTTTCTTGTACTTTAGGACATCTTACACTCAGAGGTGGACAGTAACAAAGTACATTTACTTGAGTGGTGTACTTAAATATATTTTTCAATTATCTGTACTATACAAAAAGATAAATAAATGACTTTTAGTAAATGACTTTTACTCCTCTACACTTGCAACTGCACATTCCGACCATGTCCTGCTTTCTCACGCAGCTGTAAACAAATGGTTGTGGCAATGGCATCGTTTCTGCCTTATCGGTTTGAGCGAGATTGAGAGTTCAATCTTGAACAAGAAGATGATAGACCTGATCCACCTTTGCAAGCGATTCTGGAGCAGGAGGGAAATGCCAGAAAGGTGGAGAGAAGCTGTGAAAAGGTCACTCTTTGCTCTGTAATAGACGTCACATGACGATATTCAACTTGGAATACTTTTATGAAAAAAACTTTTGATTTTTTTTTATCTGCGGACACTTACAAACTAAAGTGATATAAATAATCAAGTAATGGACAGACAAACGGATTTCACGACCTCTACAAAGATAGAGAGTCCCCACCCTTCGCTGTCTTGCTGGTTTACGGCTACTGAAAAATTAACTGAATTTAACCATTCAGTTAATTTTTCAGTGGATAACTTGGCCGATCTAACAAGATACAGCATGTCAATATTGACAATTGTTTCTGCATTTATATCTTTGTGTGTGTTGCTAAGCTGCTTCACACTAATGCGATCAGGTCGTCGGTGACCCAGTTAAACATCACAAATCCACAAATAATAGTGCAGACATACAGATTGTGAGCCTGAGTCTCCCGTTGGGCGACATAAAGTTGGAACTGCCCCATCCTTCAGAAATAACCTCAACATGTTTGTACTTACAGTGGAGGGAAATGTGGTAAAAATGGACTCCAGCCATTGACTTCTTTGTGGTTATGCCGTCAGCAGAGCATACAAAGTAAATTCCTCCAGGCAACTGAGAAAGGAAAGGGAAAACTCCGAAAAGCATAAAAGGTCCTCTTGAATATGACCTGTAAGCCCACAAAATGTTATGTTAGTGATAATGACAAGTCCCTTGGTGCCTTGGAGGTATGCCTGGGTTAGGTTCGACAGTAAGCTAGATGCTAATATTTGCAACATACGTTTTAACAGATAAACACACTGTTAACTCTTTTCCTTATATTTGTGGTTTTCTGTTTTTGGCCCTGTGCACGCCACTTCAACATGTGGAGAACTCTAAAGCTTGACAGGCCTGCCTGCCTGCCTAGTTATAGATGCTAAACTTGCTTCTGTATGCTGTTTGGAAGAACAGATTAGTGAAGGGTCAATTATGAGTAAAAGGCAGGTTGAGAAAGACTGGACTGTCCCTTTAAATCTAAATGTGTTGAAGGTCATAAGACAGTCCACTATTAATAAATACAATTCTAACGCATTTATTAGCTTTTTTGCACACTTACAATCAAGAATTAGATCAATATCCATTGGCATTATATTCTACCTACACAACATCGTCTATCCAACACATAATGACATTAGACAAAAATTTTCACAATGGCAAACATATCTAGGCAGTGCTTTCCTCATTTACGTTAGTCTCAGTCATATCACACCATGTTTACCCATCACACTAAACAGTGAATTGAAATTTTGTTTGATATTGCATAATTATGCTAAGGGTGAAATGACATGCAGTGCCGTTACCAAAGCTTACTATAAGTATATGTGTTATCAGTGGAGTATAGTGATATTCCATTGCTAACTCACAGCACCATCTGGGTACATCCATTTAAAAAACAGCTATTGAGGGCAATTGCACATACAATATGTGTTAAGTTGATGAATTGATATGATGTTGCCCCTGAGGTTGCTTTGTTGCTTCAACTAGTGATATAGTAGTAGCCTTTAGTATGCCTGGCTCCCAGCTCTCTGAGTTGAGAACAGGGTTAGCGATGTAAGCCCCAACAGGAGTAACCTGATTTACACATGTGCATATCATACACAACACTGTGCATACGTCACAAATCAATGACTCACGCTGCCTTGTACTGTGTGTGCTCCTCTAGTCATGCTGGCAGAAAAGTGGCCATAGTTTTTTTTAGTACAGTATGTGTCTGAGAGGGTGCAGTCTATTGCCTATGCAGTTAATACTGTCCACTGATGGTGACATGATACTACAGTACCATCTCTCTTTCTTTCGCCTGTCTTTTCTCTTCTTCACACTCGTATTTAGAGACGGTACTTTCTCAGGAGCTCTGATTGCCACATGTACTTCCTCTCTGGAAAGTGATCAGGAATCCTAATGCGCCGGAAGTCCTGGATGCATTTCTCCAGCTCCTGCTCAGGAGTCATCTTCTCCTTATTTGCTTTCCTCTTCGCTGCCTCTCGTTCCCGGACCCCGAAGGTTCTCACGCGGAGCATGTCAGTCTTGCGGCGCATCTCTGCCTGTTGCAGCATATGAACTGGTCCTTTTGGCATGTGGCGGTCCAGTGTCTGGATGTTGGGCTGCCGTCTCACGGGGCCACAGATCACGGTTCCTTGAGGGGAACTGGCCTCTGACTGGGTCTCAGAACAGGACGTGGAGAGGTCATTGAAGGAAGTGCCGCTCTCTCCCTCACGCTCACTTTTGTGGCTCTTGCAGCAGCAGTCACAGTGAGAGGACGACCACCTTGAGGGCCCGCCTAGGAAACACATAAACCCAAACACACTTGTCAGTTGTTTTGACCACATGCAGTACATTTTCTGTTGCAGTATGACCCAATGTCCCAGCTGTCTGTATGGTGACAGATTCCACAACTAATCAAAAGAAACAGTTGTACTGATCAAACAAATGCTGACAAATGCCTACACAGCAGTTTCAATGTCATACAAATATCTTTAAACGAATGGCAGATGAGTGTGTGTGGTGGTGTGTGTGGGTATTTAGATGTAAGAACATGCAAGTTATTGGCTTTGACATTTAATTGGGGCTGTGCATATTGCTTCCTCTGATAAGGAGGACCCCAGAGCTTAGTGCAGTTCAGTGTGACTCCCTAAAAGACCTTTCCCATTTCCCAAGGCAAAGTTTGCCTCAGAGCCAAAGCAATCTGGTTTGCCGTCACAGTTTCTTATTAGAATTGTAACCTGGCTGCCAAGGAGTTGGTGTATTATTTTTGTGTTTTCAGATCACTCAGTCAAATAAGTATACAAATGTGCTTTCTACCTTTAGGGAGGCAACAAGGTAGAAAAAGCAGGTAAACACACACAAAAAAAGTTTATCTTGGGTAGTAACAGAACCAGGTCAGTGAATAATGGAGTGAATAGATGTGCCTGCAGACCCTGCAGGTGTCCTGACCTCCTGTCACAAAGATGGGATGAGCAGTGAACCTGGTACGACCAGATTTTAGTAGCCTTCATTCTCCCTCCTGTGCTTACCTCTTGTCGCATCTCACATCCTCCTACACTGCTAATTATGAACCAGAAATACTGTACTGTACTGCCTGCTGGCTTGTGAAGTGTTCAAGTAAAGACAGTAAACACAGTAGATGTCTTTCATTTCCAAAAATATCCGTGAACTATGGTCTCATTAAGATGTACTAACAGGTAGAGATGTGCAGTGTTGAAAACTGCTTTGCTCGCTGTAATATAAACAACAGTGTATGAGAAATAAACTCATGCACACAGACTCTAAAACCCTCTTAATGGCTTTTTCCACTGTGATGATAGAGACTCAATACCAATGATATCTCAGAGGGAGCAATAATTTGCCCATTACCTCCTTCCAGTGCATGCACCAATTTATACTGAACAGAGTTCAAGGGAGATTTTAACCTCTCTGCGCACACTGTAATAATGACCTTATCTCTGGTGCGATGATTGCATTGGGCAGATAGTGAGAGAGTCACTAACAGCTTTTTAATGGCTAATCCATGAGTGAAGAGGCCAATCACTGCACCAATTTCCCCCCACAGAAAATGAATCTAGTTGAATCCAGCAGACGAGCAGCACCGGGCAAATGGATGCAGGCGCTTTAGCGGGGAGGATCAAGAGGCGGGAGGCTGAGCATTGTTTCTAAATGGATGGATGCTGTAGTCCAGAGGGGCAACCCGTTTAGGAAACTAGCCAACACCCAATAATAGCATCATAAAATTTTCAGGCCATGCAGGAGAATGAATTGTATAAAAGCCACTGGCAGCCTGAGAAGCACCTGGGCATTCATTTTGTTGCAGCCGACAATTTGTCTAAATAGAGCCTGGACGTGGAAATGACTGCTGCCGTATAGTCCATAATGCAAAAAAGAAATCTATTTGTGTGAGAGCGGAGCTTTGATGTCCCTGTCAGAGCCAAGACAGGAAACAACTAAGAGCCTTGTCAGGAAACACAGTCTTTCTTGGGTACATTTAAACAAGTGGGTGTGTGTAATACACTTAGGTATCTTTTCAGGGAAGCCATTGATTGCATTCTGTTTTTCACAGATCTATACAGTCTGTCTAAGAGATCATATTCCAACCACATTAAAAGACTGGGGCTGGTCCTCAGACCAGACCCAAGCTGTGTCTGCACTTCTCATAAATAAGACAGAGAGAGGGAGTCGAGTTCTGCGCAGGGGCACGCAGGCGTGTCTCACAGGCTATCCTCAAACTCCTCTCCATATCTAATGAAAGCAGGGGTGTTTGTCCTCGTGCCTGAGAGAGGTCACTTTCATGGAAATTCACCTTCCTGGATGTTGGACTGAAATGACACTTCTTTTTTTTTTTTTTTTTACCCATTTAAAGGTTTTAAATGGCAGGAAAGTAGGACACGATGGGGACTGAAGGCAGGGAGCTCTGACAAACTCAAATTCAAATGTCAGTGGGTTTCTTGTCAGACATTAGTGTGTTTGTTTTTATCTCTGCCCCTGAACTGACTCATCATGGGTGTCTGATGATTATTTCTTTAAAGGCAGAGCAGCTCTGTGCTTCAGTCATGTAATCTGAGAGAGGCTCGGCACAGTCACATGCTGAACGTTGAGAGGCAAAATTAAATAAATAAATGAACAAAAACGAACGAAGAAAGACTCATCACTCAGCAGTTTTGTGTGGTTATTGCACCAGGAGGCCATAATGCAATTTACTTCATTTTCAGACTTGAGTGACCCAAAGCTGTCTGCCTCTCATATTTGAATCTCTGCAGTGATATGAACTGCTCCCTTAATCTAAATAAATGAAAAGAAGTTTTGAACACAAAGCACTATTTTACATTCAAGCTGTCTGACGCAGACAAAAAAACACTTAACTTCTGAATTTCTTAAATAAACACATCTATTTTATTCACTTTCATTACTGCCTCTTATTTGTCCATACGCAACTAAATCCTTTGAGCCTGAGTGGTGTGAATTATCTACAAATGCTTCAGTTGCTGCATGGCTCTAGCACAAAAACATTTTTTCAAGACTTTGGTTGTGAAATAAACATAGGGATAAAAAAAACACTTAACTTCTGAATTTCTTAAATAAACACATCTATTTTATTCACTTTCATTACTGCCTCTTATTTGTCCATACGCAACTAAATCCTTTGAGCCTGAGTGGTGTGAATTATCTACAAATGCTTCAGTTGCTGCATGGCTCTAGCACAAAAACATTTTTTCAAGACTTTGGTTGTGAAATAAACATAGGGATAAAAAAAAAAAAAAAAAACTGCTACTTGTTACTTTGGTGAAAAAAGCTTTATGTATTAGGGGTAATTTTGTCTGGCGGGTTAAATGTGCATATTCATGCAGCTAGTCAGGGAGTTAAGCTCTGTAAGCGAGTGGAGAAGCTCTGATCTTAGACACACTCTTATATTCTCCGGCTCTCATATCCAGTTACACAAATAATTTTTACTCTGTCACTGCCTCAGGAAGAGTGTAGTTTACATGCTTGTTAGCTCACAAATTAGGCCAGCGTGTCCTTGCAGCAGACAAAAGGCTTGTCTTGCAAAGGCAGTGACTGTCCTTACAGGGAGAGGGAAATCCATTTCACCAAGATAGTCCTATTTGCTGCAAAAGCATCACTTCAGCAGTTTGTGACCAGCCTGACTGATGGCTACAGCCATCTTTTTGCCAGATATAATAATGTCTGTAATATCTGCATACATTTGAATTTGTCAATATCAATTACTTTGGCCCCCGCCAACCCACTCTGCCGAAACCCCCTCAACAGCAGCAGTTGGTCTGGGTAACCCATGCAGTCCCAACAAGCTTCCCGTGACCTAATTCAAGGGCACAGAGCACCTCTTATATTCTCTCGTAGACAGCCTTGGCCCAAATGATCTGCTTTCCATGAGGAGAGTGACAGCTTCACTGGCTGATTGTTAATGACAAGCGGTTGCTGTCCCCTCCCAGAGTCAGAGGGTGGCTGCCTGCTGAGTGTCTCCCTGACAGGGAGATGAACAAGCCACGCAGACAGATTGAAATGTCTATATCGGCCTCTCCCTGTAGGCCTGTCCCCTGACCCAGCACCACACCACTCCACTGCACAAGAACCGATGAAGCAAGATGAGGCGGGTGGAAAACGAGAAGGCGTCCTTAGTATTCACAGAGGTCTTTTCATGACCTCAATGATCCCTCAAGAGACTGGATGGAAGAAGATGAGCAATTCTGACGTCCCTCACCCTGTGAAGTAGGTGATATTCAAAGAGATGCATCTGGAGAAATTACATGTAACACTTAGCTCATGCATCACATCCATTTTTAAATTTCCCAGCACTAACTTAGATAACACCAGTTCTTTCTCAGCTCAATCACATGTGCACAGGTTGCACTTGCTGCCATGAACCAGAGTCATACCTTAAAAAAACCTTACAAAGCTTCCCTTCAGGGACGATCCCCCTGTCTTCAGGAAACACTCGGCCCTGCCCACAGTGTAAGTTTCACCATCCCAGTAGCCATTAAGTGTCTCTAGAGGGATCATTAAGGTGTTAGATGTCAGATGGTAAGAGCTGTTATACCTGTTCTCCAACAGCTACACAGTGCAAAAATGGCAGAACCAGGACAAAAAATGACAGTATGTAAATTATGGCTGAACAATACCGTTAAGTTTTAGTTTCTTCTTTTAAAAGAACTGTGATTGGAAGTTTAAAGTGTTTCACGTTTAGTTTGACATTTTGCCTTTAATGAAGGAATTGGTTTCTATTCAGTTCAATATGAAACTTGAACATTGCTTGAGATAGGTAATCCATCAAAGTCTATACTTATTCATTTTATTTGTCATTTTGCTTTATCATCACTTGGTAATGAAGCAGGGACTATAGTGTGAAAACTCTCCTTGTTGGTGCGTTCAAGGACACCCCCAACATCTGTGATTTGTGAGTCAGCAGTCCTGCATTATATTGTTGAGGGGAAAAAAAACATAAGACAATCAATAAGCATGTACAGACAGTGTGAGAGGGTTTGTGTGAAGTATCTTACTTCATACATAAAAGGGTTAGCATTCAGCACCTGAAGCTGAAATGGAAACTAACGGCTCCCTAGAAATCAATACAAAAGCTTGTAGTAAGATCTAGAAAACAAACAGCAGCAGCACCAGCAGCAAAGTTTTATTTCTAATGACCTAAAACATGAAAAACCACCACCATGGCCCTTCTAAATTCAGTGCATGCTGCTTTAAAAAGTGATTGATTTCAAAAACTACATTTTCCTCTTGCATCTGCACCTTTTCAATAAACTCAGATTTACTCCCAAGGTGAGCCAGATTGTCTACTTGGGCTGATGTAGTGCACAAGGTTCTGCAACTATTGTGAGAAAAAATGGCACAAGCGCACACACCCGTGCGTTACTCCTGACCATTTTTCTGCCCAGGTGCTCTTTAAGACGTATATGAGTTATTCATGGGAGCACCATCCATCTCTTGTAGGCGATGCCAATCCATCCAGACTCCAGGCTCTCTGGGAGCTGGGGGACGGCCCAATCTCTGCCTCTATTACACCCAAGCAATTGATTACTTTCCCCCAGTCTCTCCCTTGCCGCCTTGTGGCCATTGTTCGGGAGCCATTATGGCCACACATCGTCTCATTCACAGCCCAAATGAAGACTGCACAGTTGTATTAACAGAGCACACCTGGCAAGTATAATCATTCTCCATCTTTACTGTTGCCCATTTTGACAGGACACTTCTGCACAGCTCTTTCAGAGTAGGAGAGATGAAACTATCTCCGATGATACCAGCACCAATGCTCAATGATGATTTGCTAAACCACTGTGATGTGGAAGCTGTAATGTCAAAGGAGGTTATGATGTGACTTTGTCCCATGATTAATATTTGCCTGTGAACTGACTGAAACAACCTATTCTATGATAAAAATATGACTTGTTCTTTAAATTGCCCTGAAAATAGCTTAGCATTTATCTCTCTAAATTGCATCTCCAGTGGATGAGTGGAGACGAGGAAATATTTTGAGATCACAGATTGCTTTTAAATTAGCCAACGCTCTCCTCTTTCCCCAGAGATAATTGGCAATAAGGAGACCAGTCCCATGCGCCAACCAGGAGGTTAGAGTTTTTAATCACTGCAACAATAATGTTGTGACTGCCAACCGAAAAACCAAATGTCCCTATCATGCTAAACAACACGCATTTCTGCTTGACAAATACCCTGACAGGATTACCTACAATGGAAATCTGTTTGCAATGAAAAGAAAAATTGTTATGTGTTGATATAAAATTTTGATTTACTATATCAAAATTCTCCATCTATACTGTATGCAAGTCAAAATCTTGACTTACTCTTTCACAATTTTGACTTCGTAAATTAAAATTTTGACTTTTTATCTCTTCATTCTGAGATAGAAAATCAGAATTGTTTACTTTTAAATCTCAGAATTTTGATTTATCTTGTAATTGTGACTTTTTATCCAAAAATGTTGACACACTATCTCACAAGTTTTGAACTTTGAATTTTAACTTTCCACAAGCATTTCTTTTATCATGACTAACTTTTCATCTATATATGTTTTATTCTTTTACTGGCAGATATGGGCATCCATACTTTTCCTTATGGTAATGTCATTAAGCAGCTGATCCTCTGGGTTTTTTTGACCAAACTAATCTAATATCTCAGTTCTGTTAATTCTACTGTGTGCTGGTAATCAATTGTGATCCATTTCTCTCAGACTCAGAGTTTTTTATTGGGTGAACAAGTCATACCAGGTTAAATGTGAATTATTCATCATGGCCATCATGTGCAGAAACTCTTGTCCGTGATGAATGCTCAGACACTGTGGCCTCCTAAGGAGACTGCCCTTTTGCTGAAAGTATCATTTGTTTTAGTCTGTGGAGAAACCAAGAGCATACATCCAACCCGGCAGGAGTGGGTGACAATAATTTAGAGTATAGAGTGTCTTAACTTTATGAAGGAATTCATCCCTTGACTGTGAATACAGATGATACCGCACTGTAAAGTGATGAATAACCACCTTGGGTATTTTGGAAACTGGAGTCTGCACTAATACAGAGAGTCAGTGAAGTCTGTAGAAAGCAACTGATGCACTGAAAAAGAAGAGCAACATGGATGATGCTAAGGAACTGACAGGCTGGAAGAAAGTCTCTCAATTTATTTACTGTGCCGGATTGCTCTTCTTACACTCTCAACAAACACAGCCTCCTTCTTTCACTCCATATGTGACTGGATGGGATGGGGCAGGCCCAAGAGGGTGGGGGGTGGGGGTAAAAAGACAGCAGTGAAGCGTTCTGCTGAAAACAACAAACAACAATAAAGCACATCTGTTTCATGCCCCCCCCCCCCCTCAAAGGTGCACTTGTCTACATGTATTCTTAGTTTAGGACTACAGTACCTGCCCTAGGCCAGCCAATGTCCCACATTCAGAATCAGGTTACAGTATTAGTTTTGAAAGTGGATGCGGGCTGCTGTGCTGCTGTGAAGCAAGGGCTCTCACGCCTGTCTGCCTTTGATGTGTCTATCCATCATCCTGACTAGGACTCTGTCTCCTAATGCTCGCTATGTATATGTGTGTGTTTCCTTACACCCTCACCTTGTCTGCTCTCTTTTAATGAAAAACCCAGTCTCTCTCTCACTCTTCTTCCACCCAAAAATTTTTCCTCCCTCGGACTCGATGAACTTTCCTGTCTGATACTTTAATCTATTTTTGCTCCTCGCTCCCTCTCTCTTCTTTCTGCCTCAGTTCTTTCTCCCCATGGCCAGGTCTCATGCAACTTTTACTCCCTCATCCCTCATGCTCAGCCACTCTCTCCTCCATCTGCCTGCCTCCCTCTTCTCCACTTCCTCTCAGCTCGCTTCCTTAAATTCCCTCTCACTTTTTCTTTCCTCTTTGTGCTCTTCTTACTCTGTTTCTTTTTTTCTTTCCATGCTGTACTTATAAGTTTCTCCCCTGTCTCTTCCCTCCTTTGCTTCCACCTCCTACCGTCCCATCACATGCCTTTGTCCTAGGGATGTGTCTGTTAATGGGGAAGGGGGGTTAACACCTACACCATATGCTGTGCTCCAAAAAGTTGAATGACTCAGGAAAATCCTACTTGGCTGGATATTACTGCAGGTCATGGCAGACCTCTCTGTTATAATTAGCCTGAATTAACAACACTATTGGTAAATCATTAGCAACCCATATGTCATGTCTTCCTCGGCCCACCCTCTTGCGTCTCCAACCTTTACCTACCAACTGAGTTGTCTTCAGCTCTTCCAAAGGGAGCCATTCAGAATAATGAACAAAGTGCTTTTTAATTGGCCATATGGTCCAACTCCTCCCTCTGCAAGGAGTGGAATGAACCACATTTGCAGCTAATTAAAGCATTTGCTGATGAACAAACTTTCTAGGCAAGTGAAAATCAAAGCTGATTCATAGAGAATGCAGCAGCGCTCATGTGAAATCTTGCTGCCCACTGGTGCTATATTATTCATGACCCATCGGTTGGCAGAATCTGAGCATCTGTTTACGCATGACGCATGTGTACTTGAAGTGTAGCAGCATTGTGACTCAACTCCCATGAGGGCTGTGGGCAAGTTTGCCTCTCATCTCGGACCCAGAACTGAAGTTTAAAGTCACTGCAAGGGATGCAAAAAATTCAAGAAGGAAGGATGTGCTGCAACCCGACCATGCCTCCTGGTGGTGTGAGCTACACATTTGTTTCTGCCCATCGCCTTTAAATCTGCACCATGCAAACACATTAGACCTTTTATATGGAAAACTATTCTAACTAAACTTTTTTTATTTTTTTTTATTTTACAATTACACTTACTTAATGAGTAAAACGCCCTTCACACAACACCATGTGGATGTGTCTATAGCCTGGATGTGGTTACCTAGGGGGAGGGAGGGGCACTTTTTTGCACATTGGGTGTTGTCTGTGTTTAACTACTTTGTTGATCTCATTGTGACTTCTGAAGGTCAACGCCTCCAATTAAATTCACATAACTTATGGAATTATAATGTGAAGGAATAAATCTCCACTCACGGTAGAAGATATACTGTGCGTAATTGGACCAGACCCTGTCATCCGCGTAATGACCGATGGAAGACGCAGTCAGGGACGAATTGCAGGCCACAATGTGAAAGCCGCTCTCTGACAGCATGTCAAAAGCTCTCTCCAAGTGCCTGAACTTGAGGTAAAACCTGCAGGTGTAGCGGTCCGGTGGTCTATCGGTGTCCCTGTTCTCATTCAGGGCGTCTCCAAACACCTCTTTTGCCAAGCCGATCCTGCTGCTGATGAAGATCCGCGGTAACTTTTTGGCTTTGGCATCACTTTGACTTTCTCTGCCTCCTGCCGCGCAAACGCCTTTGAATGCGACTGTGATGTAGCCATACCTCCTGTCCAAGGAGTAAGAGGGGTAAAACCTCTGGTCGCTGCCCTGCGACACATCATCGAAATCACTGTAGTACAAGTCGTCTGGAAATAGTTTTGACTCCTCGGATGACAAAAGTTTGGCCAATTCTGGCAGCTGGAAGTATTCCGCCTCTCTTTTTAGCCTCCCCCTCTCAGGGAAGTGGTCAGGCAGGACCACTTGCTTGTCTCTAAGGTAATCCAGTACATACCGAAACAGAAAGCCATCTCTGTCAATAAAATAGCGTCCTCTAAGGTCCCGGGACAAGTCATTTGAAGACCCCTTCTTGTTAGAAAACAGCTTTCCAAGTAAGGAATTTGGAAAGCTTGTCAAGGTGGCATGGCGAGTGTAATACACCTGTCCACCCACATTTAGCTCAATGACATCCGATGGGGGGTTTTGCACAGAGCCTTGCTCTTTTGCAGGTTGCGTTTTGCAGTTTTCGCTCAGTGCCATTTTTTGCAGATCTTGCACGAAATCTGAGTCTCGATCGCGTCGCGCAAACGTCCCAGAAGTTCAGGGTGTGGGGTGTAGCTGCATGGTGTTGATGCACTCAGATCCAAAGCACAGTCTTGATTCAGGCTGCAGTCTTCACATCCATGGTCTCATGACAAACAATCCCAAAGGTGTGCCTACAGTATATCCATTAACCCCATGCGTAAATGTGCCTGCCCACGGTGAATCCTTTTTTGAACAGGATCGATTATCATAACCAGCATCGTGTTACACGCATCCACTGCGATGGGTCATGGCTGTGACTTAAAAATAATATAATCCTCACTTCACTCTGAAATTTCCTACCATCAAAAAAGTAAAAAAAAAAAAAAAAAAAAATCGCCTAAGTTTCTCTGGAGAGATTCACCCTCTTGCGCTTGGCTTCTAGTTCAATCACATCAGTGCAAGATAAACTGTAGACTGTGCGTGCATCCCATCATCCTGCTACTGAGCGTTGCTCTTCACAAATGGGATGCTGAAAGATGCTCCGAGGCTGCTCACAGAGCGGAGGATGGAAGCGGGACTCCTGTGCGCACCCATCTCTCCAAACTGCTAAGAGCGGAAACGCTTGGTCCGGCCGAAGGTTTAAGATAATGTTGCTCTAAGCTGTGCAAGAAAGAGAGAGGGGAAAAAAACCGTCCCGTAAAGTGATGTCTTACATCATCTTAAAGGAAAATGACATTTGCAGAAGATCGACATAAAATGGACTGATGTGGGCGCATCTGTGCAGTTTTTTTCCATGAAATTCTGATCTAGCCACGGGCGACGTGCAGCTGGCGGAGAGGATTCAGGTCTAATGCAGTCTTAACATCCCAGCGTTGCGGATTTTAATCCCTTCTTCTGAGTCTTCACAGAGGCTTTCGCATTTAACGCTTTTAGCTGACGCGCTTATCCCGGGAGACGGGTGAGGGGTTAGGTCCCATCATGCAGTGTCTTGCTCAAAGACCCATCGGCAGTGACAGCCACGCGTGAACAGGGCTGCTGAACTACAGGGGCACTGAAGCCTACTACTACTCTTTAACTCATTTTACACCCGCCAACAAACATTAAATGAAATGGACTAAAATAAAAATGACAGTTTGCACTCTTCTGCGTCTTGCATCACTTCTTTCACCCAGAGCGCTGTGAGTGAATATGAAAATTGATCCCTTCCTCATCGATTTGACCGAGTGAATTCTTACTTCAGCACCAAGGCCAGATCCCAGCCCACGGGGGCCCCTAGGGTGGGCTGCTCCATGCTCTGTCTACTCTCCAATAAACAGATAAAGACTACTTTAAAAAAAATAAAACAATGCAGTGATTGATACCCCCCCCCCACACACACACACACACACATACACACACACACAAAAGAATGTCTTCTCATACTACATTAATCCTTCAGTCCATTTTGGTAGCAAATCCCTCATAAAGTGCACCTCTTTGCAGTTTCTCCCTGCGAATTTTATGAGGGGTAAAAAAAATCCTCATGAAACCTTCATTACTGAGTCATTTGATTCTGGATTATAGTAGCAGGAGGACAGGGGTTTGGGACTTGTACATTATTGCTCAGGGCCTGCTCAGTGAATTTGTCATAGAGCCATCACTGTATACTCCACAGTGAAGCCAAGCACTGTAGGGTGGCAAATCCAGTTTGGAGAAAGTGAGATGCGGGGCTGAATTTAAAGCTTGACAATGCACATCATCATCTATACTGAATATATATACAGTTATACAGTATGTAGGTCACAAGCTAGTTTTGTTTATAAGGTGTAAAACAGATGTGGGAGTAAATTGAAAATATGCATTCAAAGGTTCATGGTTAGGGAGACTAGTTTTATTCTATTTAGCTTGTTTGTTTGACATGAAGTATCAGGTCCCTTATACCCATTGCCCACATTCACGTGGAGCCACCAGCAACGCTAACACTGATCTGGCTTTCAGACTGTTTTGTATCCTTTGTTTGTTTGTTTGTTTGTTTTTTGTGTGTGTGATTTGAGGCCATCTTGTAATAAATCAGAGGCTTTTATTGCTGCAGCACTGAGAGAAGGCGTTGATGATGGGAGAGCACCCTTGACTCGTGGTTTTGAGGAGGCAGCGGTCACGCTTTACCCTGTTAATTCAGAGTATATTGTGCTGGAGAGGGGTTGCTAAGCAGCCACAGGGGACTGAGTGGGATTCAAACAGTGGGGATTTAGAGCTACAGTGAGCATAGCACTGATCTCTTTTTCTGTGATGTGAGGTTTTACAGCTTATATTATACATGACATTATAATGTTTTGTGGATTGTGTGACCTTAACATTAAGTGGACAACACTGTAATGACAATATCATTCGCTGTAGCTACTCTATGGTGTTTTGTTTGTAACTTCACATATTATATCTCTGGTTTTTGACTTATACAACAAAATAACTTGGAGTTAATTCCCTTGCACTTACTTGGGGATGATTCTCTTCCCATATGTGCTATAAACTCTTTTTCTTATTCATGTCACTCATCCAGCCATTAGAGCCAATTTCCCTGCCTCCTGTCTTTGTTTTATTTCCTGTCCGTGCACTACTCCCAGGTTAGATTCTATCTTTTGGAAGGGGTTGAATTTCATGCAACTTCAGCATGAATAATTTAAGACAATATGGGTCCCAGCTGAGCGTGAAGTATGAAAATCTGTATGTGCTGTAACACTAAATTGACAATTGTGGGTTTTGAAAGCTCTTGCATTATAAAGTGCTGTGTGGCTTGGGCACAGCGCTGGTTGTCCCCAATGAGTTTAATCAGAATTGCTGTAAGACAACTTGAGTTATGTTAACAAGTTTCCGTACCCACAGATCTCAGCATCATTATACAGTAAATACAGCTTAAATTAATTATTGCAATGCCTAACCTTATAGTCTTCTCAGTAATTTTAAGTCTAATTTTAAGAGGAATCTATGAGACTACTACTACTATGTCACAGTAACTCTACGAATCTTTATAACATTCATCTTTAAGCAGGAGCAGTAAAACATGTCCAGTGATAAACTCATGTAGTCAACTGACTTTAAATGACAAAGTTTTTCAGCGCAGCAGCAGTATGTCTCTGAGCTCTTTGTAATTTCTGTCAAAAATCAGTGGCCTCTACCTTCCTAACTGTGTGCTCATCCTGCTTTTAAAACTGTGGACTCACTGGTTTGTAGTACTTATTTGTAGTTATTAATGGTGGCCGGGGCGAAACAGAAACTAAACCTACACATTTGTTATCCTTTGAATCTCTGAATGTTAATACATGTGTAGAGCTCCACTTTATTCACAGCAGAAGAAGTCATCTTATTAGTGCTTTCTCCAATACTGCACTTTCCCTGGTCCTTACTTCCATTTAATGTCATAACTGAGGTTTTTAACATTCATTTTATGTTTTTTGTTCAACACTGTGGTTAACAATGATTTATTTCATATCGTCAAGTGTGATGCACTATGAAGCTCTTATATAGGTGACTTGAATGTTTGTCGGAGACGAGGTTTTCTCTCTGGACTCACTGCTGCATAATACTGTGTGGATAATAAGTTACTCTTCATTCAGAGTTTGTACAATGGGCATATACTGATGGAGGAATATATCTTCAGTGTTAACAGCAGTTTTGTATATCATACTGAGGGGATATTATTTAAATGTTATTGCACAGTGTCTATGTTAGACTATCATATATAGTATATTAAGAGGATTTAACTTTACTCTGTTAGACCAAAAATGTTTGTAGATCTCAAATGGCTTCTACAACTGGCTGAGTGTAATGACTTGTGGAAGGAAATCATGTTGGGTTGTGTTGGCTGTGTGTAGAGTGCTCTGTAGCACCTACCAGAGGAAGAAGTTGAATCAATTAATGCTTAAGGTGTGAGGGCTCTGCAGTGATAGTGATTTTTAACCTCCGCCCAGAAAATGTACAAGTCCTGGTGATTTGGCCCCATTCATATTTTCTGCAGACTTAACTCAATTCAAGCCTGTTCCTGTCCAGACCAGAGTGTGACTGATGTGCAGAGAACAAACTCAGTAACTGCACTATAGAAGTCAATCAACAGCTAATCTTCCTCAGTAACACAGGAAGTAACTTTGTACTTGTAAAGGAGTTTCTGTTGCAGACTCAAGTGTGTTCCTGGGAGATCATAGAGCCTAGAAACGTATTGGTTTTCACGGCCATCATATTGTTATTGAGTATGATTAGCTGGAGGAGTGTGTGTGCGAAGTCAACTGTCATCTCCATGGTTATAGCACGGTTGTGTTAACCTCCACTCCACCACAAACTGAAATCTTGAACATATTCACAACCATTGTGTCAGAAGAATTAAAATGAGGAATGATTAGAATAGAAATATAAGAATTAAGCAGGTGATGTTTATTGCAAAAGTACTGTACAGGATTGCATTATAGTTTTCATGTGTTACTTTTACTGTGTCCATCTTCTTCTTCTTCAAGCATGGATGTTATTCATCTTGTATAATATTAAGTTAACACGACCTGATTTAGCCTGGTCTTATCTTGGACAGGTGTGGCACGAGCTTATATTAAAATATGAACAAATATAATGCATCAATCTTATACTATACTGCATACTGTCCACTGTTGTAATTATCCCCTCAGTCTCTTGGTGACGCTCTGTTATAATGCCTGACTCACTGACTCATGGATGCTATGGCGTGTCTCACCCTATCTGTGTCAGTGGAACTGGAGTATGGGTTAGAGCCAAGGATTGTGTATGCAAGTGTTTGTGTTGATGTGGGTGTATATGGGGGGAGGGGGGAGAGAGAGAGAGAGAGAGAGCACAGTGGTGTATTGGGGATAGAGAGAGGAATCACTAAGCCTATGCTTCCCTAATAAAGCATGATTTACTCAGCTACAGAAGCAGGGAAACGCTGCATTACAGCTGCATTTTCAGTTTCGATATTTGATTGTAGGCATATGTTTAGGATTTATCCATATTGTCCAAAGTAATGGACCAGCGAAAAAACT